TTAACTGTAATGCATGGTTCTACAGTGATTGCGTTATATACCTGTAATGCATGGTTCTACAGTAGCTGCGCTATATACCTGTAATGCATGGTTCTACAGTACCTGCGTTATATACGTGTAATGCATGGTTCTACAGTGGCTGCGTTATAGACCTGCAATGCATGGTTCTACAGTAACTGCTTTATATACCTGTAATGCATGGTTCTACAGTAGCTGCGTTATATACCTGTAATGCATGGTTCTACAGTAGCTGCGTTATATACATGTAATGCATGGTTCTACAGTAGCTGCGTTATATACCTGTAATGCATGGTTCTACAGTAGCTGCGTTATATACCTGTAATGCATGGTTCTACAGTAGCTGCGTTATATACATGTAATGCATGGTTCTACAGTGATTGCGTTATATACCTGTAATGCATGGTTCTACAGTAGCTGCGTTATTTAACTGTAGTACATGGTTCTACAGTAACTGCGTTATAAACCTGTAATGCATGGTTCTACAGTAACTGCGTTATATACCTGTAATGCATGGTTCTACAGTAGCTGCGTTATATACCTGTAATGCATGGTTCTACAGTAACTGCGTTATATACCTGTAATGCATGGTTCTACAGTAGCTGCGTTATATACCTGTAATGCATGGTTCTACAGTAGCTGCGTTATATACCTGTAATGCATGGTTCTACAGTAGCTGCGTTATATACCTGCAATGCATGGTTCTACAGTAGCTGCGTTATATACCTGCAATGCATGGTTCTACAGTAGCTGCGTTATATACCTGTAACAAGGAACAACAATAAACTACGATTATAACGAACCCAAAGGGACCACTTATTTTAATTCGATATAACCGTAGTTCGTTATAACCATGTATATAGGATATATACAGCAAATGCCTTTGACGAAAGAACAGTACGTTATATCCGTCAGTTCGTCATAAGCGTGTTCGTTTTTAACGTAGTTGTACCTGCTACATTTGCTAAAATGGAAAGAGCAGATCTATTGCCATTGCTCATATGATATAACTGAAAGAGTAATTTGTTTTTGTGACTCAATGTTGTTTGTTCAGGTGAACACTTGACTTACCTTTTCATGTGTTTGTGATGGGCGTCATCTGCGAGGCAGGCTACTCTCGCCTTTTAGCGAACACCTGGTATTATCACTACTTGATGGTAAATAATAAACTATACTTTTCCTACGATTGTGGGTTTTATTGTTTTTAACAACTCTTCGGAGATTCATTGTGTGCTATAAATGATTGGGTTTCAGCGGGGCTAGTAACTTGTAAATCATGCGTGGTTCTACAGCAGCTGGGCCACACAATGTAATGTCTGGTACATGGTTCTACAATAACTGCGTTATATCCCTGTAATGCATGGTTCTACAGTGATTGCTTTATATACCTATAATGCATGGTTCTACAGTGATTAGACCGCCTCCGTGGTCTAGTGGTAGAGCGTCCGCCCGGAGAGCGGAAGGTCAGGGGTTCGATCCCCGGCCGCGTCATACCAAAAGACGTCAAAAGATGGTACTTGTTGTTACCCTGGCTGGCGCTCGGCATTAAGGGGCTAAAACAAGGACCGGTCGGCTCGGAGTCAGAATACTGTGTCTGAGTAGGGTATTCTTGTTAAACTACGGCATGGTATCTCAGTGAGGTAGCACTATAAATCGTCATCAGTCCGGACTAGTACAAGCAGCCACACAAACACACACACGTACATGCACGTCGCTACATATATGCAATAATCTTGGACGCGACGTTAAACCCCATTTCACCCCACCTCACCTCTACAGTAACTGCGTTATAAACCTGTAATGCATGGTTCTACAGTGATTGCGTTATATACCTGTAATGCATGGTTCTACAGTAGCTGCGTTATATACCTGTAATGCATGGTTCTACAGTGATTGCGTTATATACCTGTAATGCATGGTTCTACAGTAGCTGCGTTATATACCTGTAATGCATGGTTCTACAGTAACTGCGTTATATACCTGCAATGCATGGTTCTACAGTAGCTGCGTTATATACATGTAATGCATGGTTCTACAGTAGCTGCGTTATTTAACTGTAATGCATGGTTCTACAGTAACTGCGTCATATACCTGTAATGCATGGTTCTACAGTAGCTGCGTTATATACCTGTAATGCATGGTTCTACAGTGATTGCGTTATATACCTGTAATGCATGGTTCTACAGTAGCTGCGTTATATACCTGTAATGCATCGTTGTACAGTAGCTGCGTTATATACCTGTAATGCATGGTTCTACAGTAACTGCGTTATATACCTGTAATGCATGGTTCTACAGTAGCTGCGTTATTTAACTGTAATGCATGGTTCTACAGTAACTGCGTTATATACCTGTAATGCATGGTTCTACAGTGATTGCGTTATATACCTGTAATGCATGGTTCTACAGTAACTGCGTTATATACCTGTAATGCATGGTTCTACAGTAGCTGCGTTATTTAACTGTAATGCATGGTTCTACAGTAACTGCGTTATATACCTGTAATGCATGGTTCTACAGTAGCTGCGTTATATACCTGTAATGCATGGTTCTACAGTAGCTGCGTTATATACCTGTAATGCATGGTTCTACATTAGCTGCGTTATATACCTGTAATGCATGGTTCTACAGTAACTGCGTTATATACCTGTAATGCATGGTTCTACAGTAACTGCGTTATATACCTGTAATGCATGGTTCTACAGTAACTGCGTTATATACCTGTAATGCATGGTTCTACAGTAGCTGCGTTATTTAACTGTAATGCATGGTTCTACAGTAACTGCGTTATATACCTGTAATGCATGGTTCTACAGTAACTGCGTTATATACCTGTAATGCATGGTTCTACAGTAGCTGCGTTATATACCTGTAATGCATGGTTCTACAGTAGCTGCGTTATATACCTGTAATGCATGGTTCTACAGTAGCTGCGTTATATACCTGTAATGCATGGTTCTACAGTAACTGCGTTATATACCTGTAATGCATGGTTCTACAGTAGCTGCGTTATTTAACTGTAGTGCATGGTTCTACAGTAACTGCGTTATTTAACTGTAATGCATGGTTCTACAGTAGCTGCGTTATATACCTGCAATGCATGGTTCTACAGTAGCTGCGTTACATACCTGTAATGCATGGTTCTACAGTAACTGCGTTATATACCTGTAATGCATGGTTCTACAGTAACTGCGTTATATACCTGTAATGCATGGTTCTACAGTAGCTGCGTTATATACCTGTAATGCATGGTTCTACAGTAGCTGGGCTACACCCATGTAATGTCTGGTGCACGGTTCTACACTGAGTTCTCACGTAATTAAGCTTAGTGGATTTCTCGTTGGTTCCTTATTCAAGTTAAGGCAACGTAGCTTTACACTGAACGGAACAGCAAATAATGTGCCTACAGTTCACCAATACTCTCACCTCGCCCAGGTATTCAGAGGACATTTTCTTATGTTATGTTATCTTACGTCGCCCTCATATTATATTGTCAGCTGCATTAAATACACTATTAATTAATGATCCAGGGCACTGAACAAGAAAACAATTCTTTTCCTTAATATCGATTTAATCACACCATCACATGATAAACACGAAAGAAGTGCGACATGGACCAATCAGTGTGACTTGAACTTGAAAGTTGTGTAGAAACATAAACTATACGACAACGCTATTCAAATCGATTTGGCAGTTTGAATGCCAAGTTTAACGTGCTGTGACGTCAAGAACTGGTCAAATGAAAATTTGTTTGTTGTTGAACGCAATATTCCAGCTGTATGACGTTGGTCTTTAAATAATACATTGAAAGCGTGTACAGTCAGTGATAGCATATAAAGTGTTATAAGAATTCATACTAGTTATATTGCAGTTTGGGATTGTTCTTTAAGCAGGGATAACAGAGCACTTTAGATTTAGTGTGTTTTGAAAAATACTGAAGTGACATTTTAAAATAAATTTGCATCCGATATTGATCGGATCAGGAAAAGAAAACATTTCAAGGCGACGAGGAAATGAGAAGAGGAAATGAGAGATGACACAGATTTTATTAAGTTTGAAAACCCTATTTCCCTCATTTTTCCGTGTAACGAGGAGACACATTTGCATTATATGACGATATCACTGTGGTATGAATCATTTAACATTAAAAATCAACAGATTATTAGGTAAAATAGTTTAAATTTTAACACTTTAACATTTTAACACCCTAAAATTGCACAGTGAAAGAGAACATGGTTGGTATAATCACCGATAAGACAAGGAACAAAAGATTACTCTATTTACAGATATGGCAACGTATACTATGGTTGTCTGACTGACAGAGACAGCGATTATAAAAAATGAAACACGATTATTTACTCTTATAATCATAATCTTGTGTGTGTGTGTGTGTGCGTGCGTGCGTGCGTGCGTGCGTGTGTGTGTGTGTGTGTGTGTTTATATGTGTGTGCGTATGTGTGTGTTAGCGAGTGTGCCTGTGTCTATATTTATTAATTAATTATTAATTCTATTAATCTTATTAATCTTACGTACAAATATATAATATAAGATACTAATATATAATATAATATAATATACATATACATATTATATACACATAAAGGAGTTTTGACAAGCACGAATACCTGGATTCTGGTTTTTTTATATTTTAAACTTATACACCTGATGAGTGAGTGAGTGAGTGAGTATGGTTTTACGCCGCTTTTAGCAATATTCCAGCAATATCACGGCGGGGGACACCAGTAATGGGCTTCACACATTGTACTAGGCTACCCGACTGCCCACACCTGATGAAATCACTTGTTTATATATTATATATACATACATATACACATGTGTGTGAGTGTGAGTGTGAGTGAGTGTGAGTGTGAGTGTGTGTGAGTGTGTGTGTGTGTGTGTGTGTGTGTGTGTGTGTGTGTGTGTGTGTGTGTGTGTGTGTGTGTGTGTGTGTGTGTGTGTGTGTGTGTGTGTGTGTGTGTGTGTGTGTGTGTGTGTGTGTGTGTGTGTGCCTATGCATGCATTCTTTTGGTTAGAAGTCATCGATCCACTGCATCTATCTCACGTCAGCCTGCATCTGCTCCTGTTGTTGTACAGTGAAGGATACAGAGACGCGTAGATGTGGAAGCGTTACTCTGACTGAAGATCCTTGTAGTCTCGCAGTAAGCCCTAGAGTCAGCAGTAGAATTTAGACCCGTGGCCTGACTTAGCCGAACTGACATCCTCGTCATTGAATGTAGCATTGTGGAGCTCGCTGGTGGAACAATATTCTCTGTTACTCACTCCTGGCAGGTAGGCAGCTTGCCTGTGGTTTATAATAGAAGAGATAAAAATTATGGGGAAAGGAATGTAGGAAACAGAGGTTTCTCATTCAACACTTGAACACTGGGGACATTCTATTTCGATATTAGGGGCGGTCGGGTAGCCTAGTGGTTAAAGCGTTCGCTCATCACACCGAAAACCCGGATTCAATTTCCGACATGGGTACAATGTGTGAAGCCCATTTCTGGTGTCACCGCCGTGATATTGCTGGAATATTGCTAAAAGCGGCGTAAAACCATACTCACTCACTCACTCACTATTTCGATATTCAAATAATTTGACTTTATACTTGAAATTGAATTATTATAAAAATGGAACATACATTATATGTCTGTCAAATTTGTAGCCCAAACGAAATACATGTAACGAAAAACCCAACGCGTTCACGAATCATTAAAAACGCTAAGTGTTTACGTAATAACGCATACAGTTTTATATGTGGTGTAATATTGTTTGTTGTTTGCTTGTTGTTTAACGCCGCAATCAGCAATATTCCAGCTATATGATGGCGGTCTGTAAATAATCGAGTCTGGACCAGACAATCCAGTGACTGACATCATGACCATCGATCCACGTAATTGGCATACGATGACATGCATCAACCAAGTCAGCGGGCCTGACCACCCGACCCCGTTAGTCGCCTCTTATGACAACCATAGTCCCATTTTACGGCAAGCATGGGTTGCTGAAGACCTATTCTACCCCGGATCTTCACAGGTCATGTTGTGTAATAACTTCAGTAAGAGACGTATTCTTTGAATCATTTGCCTGAAGTAGTTGAATGTTTATTAGATCGCAATAATACAGCATTCAATGTCTAGAGATTTATTATTTTGAACTAGTTTTAACTTTATTACTGATTTCCCGAAAGAAAAAGAACCGTGACATATTCCCTATGTTTATGCAATGAAACAGTCGTGTTCTTAGTCAGATAACTCCTTAGTACCTGATGCTGGAGAAGGACAACCGGACACCCTCGGCAAAGACTGTGGCGTAGGGAGACTCGTTGCTGACATTTGACGCTCTGTTGTTCCGTACTGTCAGGTAGGCAGCGTACCTAGAGGTGACAAACTTACAGTAACAGAAATACTATATGACAAAATAAATAAATAATTACTCTTCCTCTGAACCTTTTCATTGAATGTCAACTTTTACTAAGTCAAAATCCTAATGTAGACCAAACTCAATTTACGTTTTATCTTTTATTTGTTAGATAAATTGTACAAAGATGTGATGACCATTAAGAAATGTACATTCGTTAAATTCTGTTGTGATATCTGTTTTACTTACCTTAATTTCCGATTTTCTGAAAAGCAAAACAAAGAGCTATTACCAGTTGTTACACAGTAGTATAAAGTCCAGTACATACATTCGGCAAGTGTCACTGTTATCAGGAAATATTTCCGTGATTGCTCCATCTCCCAAAGATCACTGGCACTTTCAGTCACATGCTTGCAGCTTCAGTCAATGCCAACAACTTACCTCTCACTCTCCTGCATCTTCGTATCATCAGGCAGACAACAGCTTACCTCGCACTCTCCTCCATCTACGTATCATGCAGACAACAGCTTACCTCTCACTCTCCTGCATCTTCGTATCAGGCAGACAACAGCTTACCTCTCACTCTCCTGCATCTATGTATCAGTCAGACAACAGCTTACCTCTCACTCTCCTCCATCTATGTATCAGGCAGACAGCAGCTTACCTCTCACTCTCCTGCATCTTCGTATCATGCAGACAACAGCTTACCTCTCACTCTCCTGCATCTATGTATCAGACAGACAACAGCTTACCTCTCACTCTCCTGCATCTTCGTATCAGGCAGACAACAGCTTACCTCTCACTCTCCTGCATCTATGTATCAGTCAGACAACAGCTTACCTCTCACTCTCCTCCATCTATGTATCAGGCAGACAGCAGCTTACCTCTCACTCTCCTGCATCTTCGTATCATGCAGACAACAGCTTACCTCTCACTCTCCTGCATCTATGTATCAGACAGACAACAGCTTACCTCTCACTCTCCTGCATCTTCGTATCAGGCAGACAACAGCTTACCTCTCACTCTCCTGCATCTTCGTATCAGGCAGACAACAGCTTACCTCTCACTCTCATGCATCTTCGTATCAGGCAGACAACAGCTTACCTCTCACTCTCCTGCATCTTCGTATCAGACAGAAAACAGCTTACCTCTCACTCTCCTCCATCTTCGTATGATGCAGACAACAGCTTACCTCTCACTCTCCTGCATCTACGTATCAGACAGACAACAGCTTACCTCTCACCCCCTGTATCTATGTATCAGGCAGACAACAGCTTACCTCTCACCCCCTGTATCTATGTATCAGGCAGACAACAGCTTACCTCTCACCCCCTGTATCTATGTATCAGGCAGACAACAGCTTACCTCTCACTCTCCTTCATCTATGTATCAGGCAGACAGCAGCTTACCTCTCACTCTCCTGCATCTACGTATCAGGCAGACAACAGCTTACCTCTCACTCTCCTCCATCTATGTATCAGGCAGACAGCAGCTTACCTCTAACTCTCCTTCATCTATGTATCAGACAGACAACAGCTTACGTCTCACTCTCCTGCATCTTCGTAGCAGGCAGACAACAGCTTACCTCTCACGCTCCTGCATCTTCGTATCATGCAGACAACAGCTTACCTCTCACTCTCCTGCATCTTCGTAGCAGGCAGACAACAGCTTACCTCTCACTCTCCTGCATCTTCGTATCAGGCAGACAACAGCTTACCTCTCACTCTCCTGCATTTTCGTATCAGACAGACAACAGCTTACCTCTCACTCTCCTGCATCTTCGTATCAGACAGACAACAGCTTACCTCTCACTCTCCTGCATTTTCGTATCAGACAGACAACTGCTTACCTCTCACTCTCCTGCATCTTCGTATCATGCAGACAACAGCTTACCTCTCAATCTCCTGCATCTTCGTATCAGTCAGACAACAGCTTACCTCTCACACTCCTACATCTACGTATCAGACAGACAACAGCTTACCTCTCACTCTCCTGCATCTTCGTATCAGGCAGACAACAGCTTACCTCTCACTCTCCTCCATCTATGTATCAGACAGACAACAGCTTACCTCTCACTCTCCTCCATCTATTTATCATGCAGACAACAGCTCACCTCTCACTCTCCTCCATCTATGTATCAGGCAGACAACAGCTCACCTCTCACTCTCCTCCATCTATTTATCATGCAGACAACAGCTCACCTCTCACTCTCCTCCATCTATGTATCAGGCAGACAACAGCTTACCTCGCACTCTCCTCCATCTATGTATCATGCAGACAACAGCTCACCTCTCACTCTCCTCCATCTATGTATCAGGCAGACAACAGCTTACCGCTCACTCTCCTCCATCTATGTATCATGCAGACAACAGCTTACCTCTCACTCTCCTCCATCTATGTATCATGCAGACAACAGCTTACCTCTCACTCTCCTCCATCTATGTATCATGCAGACAACAGCTTACCTCTCACTCTCCTCCATCTATGTATCATGCAGACAGCAGCTTACCTCTAACTCGCCTGCATCTATGTATCAGTCAGACAACAGCTTACCTCTCACTCTCCTCCATCTATGTATCATGCAGACAACAGCTTACCTCTCACTCTCCTCCATCTATGTATAATGCAGACAGCAGCTTACCTCTAACTCGCCTGCATCTATGTATCAGACAGACAACAGCTTACCTCTCACTCTCCTCCATCTATGTATCATGCAGACAGCAGCTTACCTCTAACTCGCCTGCATCTTCGTATCATGCAGACAACAGCTTACCTCTCACTCTCCTCCATCTATGTATAATGCAGACAGCAGCTTACCTCTAACTCGCCTGCATCTATGTATCATGCAGACAACAGCTTACCTCTCACTTTCCTCCATCTATGTATCAGGCACACAACAGCTTACCTCTCACTCTCCTCCATCTATGTATCAGACAGACAACAGCTTACCTCTCACTCTCCTCCATCTATGTATCATGCAGACAACAGCTTACCTCTCACTCTCCTCCATCTATGTATAATGCAGACAGCAGCTTACCTCTAACTCGCCTGCATCTATGTATCAGACAGACAACAGCTTACCTCTCACTCTCCTCCATCTATGTATCATGCAGACAGCAGCTTACCTCTAACTCGCCTGCATCTTCGTATCATGCAGACAACAGCTTACCTCTCACTCTCCTCCATCTATGTATCATGCAGACAGCAGCTTACCTCTAACTCGCCTGCATCTATGTATCATGCAGACAACAGCTTACCTCTCACTTTCCTCCATCTATGTATCAGGCACACAACAGCTTACCTCTCACTCTCCTACATCTTCGTATGAGGCAGACAACAGCTTACCTCTCACTCTCCTACATCTTCGTATGAGGCAGACAACAGCTTACCTCTCACTCTCCTACATCTTCGTATGAGGCAGACAACAGCTTACCTCTCACTTTCCTCCATCTATGTATCAGGCACACAACAGCTTACCTCTCACTCTCCTACATCTTCGTATGAGGCAGACAACAGCTTACCTCTCACTTTCCTCCATCTATGTATCAGGCACACAACAGCTTACCTCTCACTCTCCTCCATCTGTGTATCAGGCAGACAACAGCTTACCTCTCACTCTCCTCCATCTGTGTATCATGCAGACAACAGCTTACCTCTCACTCTCCTCCATCTGTGTATCAGGCACACAACAGCTTACCTCTCACTCTCCTCCATCTGTGTATCAGGCAGACAACAGCTTACCTCTCACTCTCCTCCATCTGTGTATCAGGCAGACAACAGCTTACCTCTCACTCTCCTCCATCTGTGTATCAGGCACACAACAGCTTACCTCTCACTCTCCTCCATCTGTGTATCAGGCACACAACAGCTTACCTCTCACTCTCCTCCATCTGTGTATCAGGCAGACAACAGCTTACCTCTCACTCCCCTGCATCTATGTATCAGGCAGACAACAGCTTACCTCTCACTCCCCTGCATCTACGTATGAGGCAGACAACAGCTTACCTCTCACTCTCCTGCATCTACGTATGAGGCAGACAACAGCTTACCTCTCACTCTCCTGCATCTACGTATGAGGCAGACTAGAAGAACCACAACAAGGACCAGGAGGACACAGGTGACAGTGTACCCGACGATGTGTACTTGGACCCCCTCGTCTGGAAATGGCGATGGATGCATGGTATCAGATAGATGTGTTGGACTCGCATAATTTGTAATCAACTGTATTATTAGTGAGGTTGTATGTTCATATTCGATAAATGTTACACTGCATCAAGGGAGTCAATGACAACTCCCAGCGAGGCTAAAACAAAGTTGGAAAAGGAATTTCAAAATGTTGATATGCAATGTTCAATGTTCAGTTAGAATTTAACGTCGCATCGGCATTATTTCAGCCAAACAGCGACGAGACCATGTTGATATATTCACAATCGAGTTATTTATGCAAAGTAATAGTTAAAAACAATTTATGAAACATATTTGAGCATACTATATTTAAAAACAATTCAAGGAACATTTTTGAGCATAAGAATGAATTAGGATAAATATCTTCAATACAGTTGTGTTTTATTTGATTTTGAATCAACAGTTTGTTGAAACAGAATGTTTGAAGTATTACATTGGAGTGATGTTACTATCAGATTATAGCAAGGTCGACTTTCTAACCAATATTGTGCGTGTTCCGGTAAGACGAGGTGAAAATGTAATAAGTTATTACAGGTTTAATCCAAATAAATGCTTGTATGTTACAGGTTCTGATACCAAGCTTTATCGCCAGCAATGTTGTGGAAGTCTTACAGAAAACTTCCAGCGTCAGGTTCCGTGATGTATTCCCATGCGTGTTGTTGGCGTGACACGTGTACTGTCCAGACACAGATCTGTCTACAGCTGGTATATACAACACAGCCTCCCTCTGTCCCGTGATCACCCTCTGTCTGGACCAGGTCACCGTACAAGCGGGCTTACAGTCAGCAGAACATCTCACTGTGGTAGGTTTCCCTTCTTCTGCCTTTAGCCTGTCACTAGCGCCGTTAAACTGTATATGTTCAGGTCCATCTGTGAGCAATCGAAATTGAAAGTCGAAAGATAAATATGTCGTGGCCCACTGATTGCCATCAAGCTCATCACACGCATTAAAGGAAGATCCCGGCGGCATTGTGTCAGGTAAGTATGAAATTTCATTCGGTTGAACAGAGTGAATTAGACTGAAATTGATTTCTCTTGAAGGTAAAGCCAGATATAAAGGGAGGTTATTCACTGTAGAGGGCGCCACCGTGAGGGGTATATATAGGAATTGTAAAGCCCGGGTAGTTCAATCTCTCCTGTGGTGTCGCCGTTACAGTGCGGTATGTTTATTCTATGTTTATGTCCGGTGCATTATGGTGATGAACATTTTCTGTTTCTGTGAAAATTTCAATGCAGAGTAAATGCCTCGGCTTGTGCCACAAGGAAGCCACACTGTGTGTTTGTTGTTTATATCTGGCTTGACGAGAAGCGTCATGGGCGTCACATGTTCAGTGACGAATCAAGGTTTCTTTCAGATCTTATGGATGAGTCGTTTTTGGAGAAGTTTACAATGGATAGCTTACATAGTTAATGAATGAGAACATTGTAAGGTCTAGTTTTAAAGTTTCACTTCATGGCTCTGTAGAATCGACGCTTTAGTATAGTAACTGAGCCACCGGGAAATCCGTTTAGAATACAGATTTTCTTCCCAGAATTTTAACACGTGCAATAGATATTCTAGGAACAATAATATGCCACACTGTAAACTATCAGAATAAGAATCAGTAATGGGAATTATGTTGTTTAGACTGAAGACATCGAGCATTCTCCCGTCTTTGTAGAACTATAATATATACATGAAACTGATAACCATAATTGTTGTCTGAATAAGGAATGTATGCTGTATGGCTGTAACATACATAACGCTCTTCACATGACCCGGTGGTATTCGACAATCATGTTCATGTTTCAATGGTCCACGTTTTCATTATAACTTTATTCTTGTTTAATGACACCCCTGATCATTGGAACACATCTCCGGGACACTAAGCCCCCGTGAAATCCGTTTAGGATACATCTTTTCAAAAGATATTCAAGCAACAACAATATACTACATTGTAAACTATCAGTATATTAAATCAATACTGATAAACGAAGGCTTCTTTAAACAGTTCCATTCTACAAGCACCGTCTCCTTGAATCAATGTCTTGTTGTTGAGATGTGAAATTGTCAGCATCTAGTATTCCCCCGCCTTTGAAGACATATACTATTTACAAGAAACTGTTAACCACAATTGTTGTATGAATAAGGAATCGGTACCACGGAATGAACTGTTTTCAGCAAGATATCGCTCAGTTGAGGTTAGGTAAACCAGGTATATGCTGTATGCCAGATACATAATGCTCTTCATGTGACCCGGTGGTACTCTACTATCATGTTTGAATGAATATAAGCTGGAACACGATCCAACATTTTTATCATAACACGACCACATTCTAAACAAACAGATCAAAACAATATCGACATAAATGATTCAATGCAAAGGCAAACATTTAAAGCCAATGTTGGTAAATGACCACTACTCATTCAAAATGTCATGAAATTTGGTTTATGTTGAGAGGGCAGTCGGTCTCATGATCATTTGTATCGTTTGTTTGTAAGATTTTAAATTTTGACCTTGTTTTGAGCTTTGTGTTTTACCATGCTAAAACGTTCTCTAAAAATGCGTATTTTGGCTCTGTAGTAAAGTTCGCTGAAATAACCAGCCTGGGGACTATGAACTCACGCATGTATGTCTCTCCTAATGATGACATCATAATTTGCCCAATGCATATAATTTAGTATTGTTTTTTGTATTCTCTGTATTTATGCCAAGTGTTAAATGTCTATCTTTGTTGATACATGTATTTAAAACTGTATGACAAGAGGAAGACCTCAACAATCCAATAGTCAACACTCCCTTCATGTCGGGCAATATGCCTGCAGCTCCTTGGTGTCTACATTTCACAACATTAAGTTACAATCGAGCATGATCTTTCTACCAAGATTTCAAAAACCTTCATGCAACGCTTGCTCTGAACCTGTTTGTTCAATGTTATAACATCAGCAAAGCTTGTCAAAACGTTTTATGGTAAATATGTGCCTGATTTCCAAATCTGACGCATCAGTGACAAAAAGGATGTCCGATGCAATGATGTCTTGTACCATGTGTTTCAGGTGAACAATTGACTTGACTTTGCATGTGTTTGTGACGGGTGCCACCGGTGGGGCAGGAAAAGATTATCTTTTCGCAAACACCTGGAATCATCACTTTATATATATTTGATAGTAATTCATAAATATTTGTACGTGACAAAGTCGGAATCGTACAATCGACCTTGTTTTTGGCAGATCTTTTTCATGAATATGGAAAAGGTTTTGTCGCTATTATTTACAAAAAAATGTCACTCAGCACCAAAGTTGAAAAGATGAAGTATATTTCGTTTTAAATACCCAAAGCAAAGTAAGTTCTTACTCACAGTGAACCTCCAGTACATGTCCGTGACTCCAGTCAGACTCCAGCCCCTCCTCCACAGCCTGGCAGGTGTAGATGTCTCCCTGGTTCTCTCTGCTGATGTGGGTTATTGTCAGGTCATCTCCACCTGTATGAGACCCGTCACCAGATTCTAGCATGGTCCTGTTCCTCCTCCAGGTGTAGGTCATGTTCAGTGGGGGGTGTTCCAGGGGCAGACTCCGAGAGGAGGAGGAGCATGTCAGGGTGACATTATCACCTGATACAGTTGAGGCAGGTCCTGTGACGTTAGGTGTGGTCGGCTTCTCTGTTAAAATATTAATATTTCAAAATTAAACAAGCGTCATAATACTGAATCATTTTATATATCAATTACATAGAGTAAGTGAGTGAGTGAGTATGGTTTCATGCCGCTTTTAGCACAAGTAATATCAGGACGAGCGACACTAGAAATTGGCTTCACACATTGTACCCATGTGGGGATCGAACCCGCTTCTTCGGAGTGACAAGCGAACGCTGTAAGAACTTGATTACCCATCGCCCCAGGTAAATGGAAATCGAATTAACAATGATTTATCATGATGTCTCGACCATTAAATTACTGCAATATTCGAACCTCGTCATCTCTATATCTTATCTTCAGCAACATGTTGAATCTCCAGAGTTTTCAATCCTTATAACTTAACGTAAATTATATTGTCGACCTTCACCTTTCTGTTAAGGGAAAGAAATATATGTTTTTTTCGGGTTTCTTCATTAAGCTGTGTTAGGGTTTTACAGCGATAATACCCATGGCACACTTTCCGTGACACAGCTGTACAAGACGTCGGCTTCTCCAATACCTCTCCTGTTCCATTAACAGATTGTGTCCCGCTCCTGTCCTTCCCCTCCTGACTGTTTTACTTCCTCGTCAACTCTAGGGGTCTACTGTTGATGATACTAGCAATATAAGCGTTACGTCGATACTTTTTAATGTTTTGTTTTCATAACCGCAATGTATTATAAAACACATTCATTTTTTAACTATTATTCTGTGAGTCTCATATAATACGTACGTGATACAACGAGGACCTGTCTACATCCAGGTACCATCATATTACTGGATGTTTGACATGAGTAAGAACCAGCATCCTGTACAGTAACATTGTAGATGGTAAACCTCAGCTGTCCGGTCTGTGATAGTGAGTCCTCCCCTGTGTATCTGATCCTGGTCGTGTAGCCGGTGTGACTGCTGTTGAGTACCAATACCCGGTGTGACAGAGGCAGGACCACTAACAGTTTTACCGAACCATTCCTCCATACGAAATATGTGTAGCTGACATTAGCTGGGCTCATAGTTATGTTAACATCGTAGCCAACACGTGTGACAGTGTGTCGGTAGTCAGCTGTCACGGAGGCCAGACCTGCACATAAATGAAATACTCATCATAGAAACTCATTGATAAATGAATATTGACAGTTGACAGAAAACAACAACATAAAAACAACTATATATAATGCCAATTCTGTTGACGAAGACAGATACATACCACACCCATACAGTCCTCCCGCCACAACGTAAAACAAGAACATAGTCGCCATGGCGTTCAGTTAATACTGACAGATTTCAGCTTCTGACTATGAGAGTGATGTGTCACCAAATAGTTTCACTTGACTATTTCCGTATTGAATGAAGAATATCCTTGTTTACCCAAACAGTAGTGAATAGGCCGGGTGTAGATATTCTTGTATGGATGAATATTGGATGCTGTATTGTGATGCAACTTACTTGGCACCAGGCCTCTAAATGCTGTCGGGTTGGGTATACATATATATCTAAATACTATGACTCTATAAGCCCTCTATTGTTCTCGTTTAATTACTCTAATGCACTCCCAAACAAGGTGTAAGTGTAACTATTGATATCACATCACCAATATAGTGCAGGTCATCTTAGTAGTGAACACGTCTTCAACAGAGTTATAACTGGTGGCACTAATGCAGAGCCAGTGACACTAGAACTGGGTGGCTGCTTAACGCAAGGGAGATGTACCCTCCATGTAAAGGGGGACAACTCAGTACACATTCTATCACGTGTGCTTTTCAGAACTGAAAGTGTCTGCTGGAAGATTTAATCCAAATCATGAAGCACAGATTATTTTTCTCTTTCCCCCCCTTTCTTTCTTTTACCCATCATAACTGTCTATACACAAGGTGTGCATGTATCCAGATGAATACTGATTATGCTGACGTCTATTTTCTGTTATCAGAAGAAGGATCGTCTTGTTTTTCAACATAATATTTTGTGATTCTGATAAGGTAAAGTCACTGTGTTGGACTGTATCAGCTCTCTACTGTTCACGCCTTACTCCAATGCACGTAAAAACAAGGTGTGAATGCAGCTGTTAGTTTCACATTACCAATAAAGTGCAGATGACAATAGCGGTGGTAATGTCGGCAACAATACAGAACCAGTGACACTAGAAATAGGTGGCTGTGAAATCAAGGGAAATTCACCACTGAAAGTGTCTGCTTGTGGTTTAATCTTAATCATATAGCAGAGATTTTTTTCTCTAGCTTTCTTTTTATTTATTATTTTTATTTTATTATTCATTACTTTTTATGTGCAAAACATGCGCATGTCCAAATTGGCAACAATTATGCTGGCGTCTATTTTCTGTCATTTGTTGGGCGATACAGGCACGACACCTTGATGGCATACTGTTAATTATATCGTGTATGTTTGTTCTTTGTATTGCCCGTCATTCCGCCTGAAGAGCTATCCCAGGCTGGGCCCCGTTGACGGGTGCTAGATCTCTATTGTACACCTTCCGTGCCGACAACATCCCACAGATGTCCTATTGGGGACATGTCAGGGGACTTAGCAGGCCAGTCCAATGTCCGTATGACATCTCGTCGGAGATAATCGGTGACGACCTGGAAACGAAGTGGTCTTGCATTGTCATCTTGTAGTTCAGAATGTCTACAGATAATTCTAGCAATTGGAACACAGGACGCACACTTTCGTCAACATATCGTTGGCAAGTTAAAAGTCCATTCCCAATAACCAAATGAGTGCGCCTGTCATGTGTGATACCGCCCCACACCGCCCCACACCATGACACTAATGTAATTAAACTAACTTTTCAAGGTGCCGTTTTTGTAAGGCCTGCCACGCCCTGGTCTCATTTTGAATTGCAGCCGACGTGGTTTGATGGAATGTATGCATATGCTAATCTTCATATCACGTGACCAGACGTTTCTCTTGTTTGAAAGCAAATGCGTTTATTCTCATTTCAGAGCAGCCCGACCTAATGGAAGCATGTCAGTGCGATTTACTTAATCATAAAAATACGCTATTTCAACTATGACAGTTAGGAGTATCACAATATATCTTCACACATTGAAGCGACCGTATCGCTAGCTAGTCATACAACCCTGCATGGAGCCGCACAACCATTGTGAATAAAGGATAAATATTCAAATCAAAATATTTTTTTTACGTTTTAGGATATTTTTAATTAACTATTCTCCCACATTTGCAGACTTGTAAAAAACAAAACAGAAGAAAAAATGCAATTTGACTGCATATGTTTCTCACAAATCGTCACATCTCGCTGGCCTGTGGCAGAAGTACAAGGTCGAGCGCAATGAACTGTGTAGGATAGTGGATGATATCAGGCCATATCTCCTAGGATTGCATTTTGACGTCATCAGGTACCAAGAAGTCACAATCAAATTATATCACTAATCTCTCTGCTGTTGAAGCGGGTTAGGTGTACTTTTTACACTCGAGACACTGGTTATTTCAGAGATGAACCTATTCTGTTGTAAATCTTGAGGTTGTTCATTAAATAGATTTATCTCCTATTCTACTATAAGATTATGTTGCTAAGGCGTTCGTCTTTAAACGACATTTATCGATGTGTTATAAATGAGTCAATTTACAACTGAAAAGTTGTGTCTTCTAAAAAGTCACTGGGTATAGTTAGAATAATCTCTTAACAATATACTTTTGTTTTCTTCTTTCTTTGTTATAGTGTTTAACGCCGCACTCAGCAATATTCCAGTCATATTGTGGGTGGATAAACTTAATCGAGTAAGACAATCGACAAGACAATCCAGTGACTGACATCAAGAGCATTGATCTATGCAATCGGGATACGATGACATGCACCAACCAAATCAGCAAGCCTGACCACCCGATCCCTTTAGTCGCCTCTTACGATAAGCATGGGTTGCTGAAGACCAATTCTAACCAGGGTCCTCACAGATTCTCAACAATATGTGTAAAAAAAACATGACTTGTACTTTCATCATCAGAGCATATATGTAGTTAGATATGTTTTGTTAGCGAGGACTAACGCTGAATTGTAAAATAACACTTGTAAGTATTATTACCCTGCGAATATATGTCTTACAAGAATTGTGTATGTGACATTTGCATGCTTTGGAGCAAAGGCACATATGTTAGTTTTTAATTCATTTACGACTTGTTACATCATGTGCACCTACAACATTCTATCAATGCAAAACATATACACATTTACTGAGTGTGCTTTTGAACAAAGCTTTAAGGTATTCGTTCAAAAGAGTGAGTGAGTGAGTGAGTGATTGAGTGAGTGAGTTTCTCCACTTTGAAACTTATTTCAGTTATATGACGACGTTGTCAGCTTAATAAGTAAGAACAAACCGAAGTGTTGCAAGGCTCTTACAACTTTATTAAAAACCATGATCATACAAAGTTGACAAACATAGAAACATAATCAGTGAGAATTTGGAAACGAACCCAGCATCATATGATCAGCCCATTATACCATTCGTCACCACTCGCCCCTTTACGTAACCTGCTAAAAACATAATCCTTTATCCATCATTACTCGCATATGATTTGTGCCAAAATACCACAAACCAATCACAATGCGCGTCAGGATTGAGGTACTTTAATAAAAAATAACCCAGGGTACTTTAATCAATTATGACAATATGTGGTCATTTAATTTTTGTTTTAAAATGTGGATCATTATTTCGGCATTACAAGTATGGTTCTTCGGTTCTTCGGTCCAGACAGACAAGAAGTAGTATCATACTACAAATATCTTGGCTTAACAATTTCATGTCGATATTTATTTACAAAAGCCGGTCACCAATTAAGGCAATTTTAGCAGAAGTGGAAGGCACCTGATATATATACACTATCAATGTAGAGTTATCTCATACTGGAAACGTTTGCTCAGACAACCAGATACATGATAATCTAGACGATGCTAGTACATGCTTAAGCGCCTTGATGAATTTGGGGATATAAACTGGGCCTGAGCTGTTAGAGAAATTCTTTTTTCCCATGGATTTGCATACGTGTGGGAATACCAGGATGTTGGAAATAAAATGATGTTCTGAACAATGTTTAAATAACGATGTAAACATATGAATTTTAAAGGCTCGTCTGCTGATATCAGATGTTCAAAAATCGTGACATGCTTATTCAATGTTAAAGATGGAAATAATACCAGAAATGTATTTAACAACTATTCGATCTTTATCTTTACGCAGATGTTTAACGAAGTTCAGGTGTGGTATACAAGCCCTCAATATACAATTATACAGACATTCCAGAGATAATGATGTTCTCACATCGATGTGCCCTTTCTGCAAATATTACCAAGAAGTTGAATACCATATATTATTGATATGTCCAGTATATGAAGTTATAAGAATCAAATACCTGCTAACTATTATTGTACGTACCCATCACAAAGAAAATTTGTAAAGTTAATGAACAGCAAAAATAGCCATATTCTTCTCAGACTTGCAGTTTGTGTTTATAAGATATTTGAAAGAAGGATAAGACATTGAATATTAATAAAACTGTGTACACATATTCAACTACAATCTAATCACTATACAAGTGGTGCTCCATGACGAATTTTCCTACAATAAAATGTCATTGTACTATTGGACTCATGGCCACACATACGAAATAAATCTGTCTGTGTGTCATTACAAAGTACATGTACATGGATAACATAATCTTGTGCAAATCCTCACCTGTGCGTTTATCTTCAGTTCAGAGATCACTCGACAACGAAATGTTCTTTTTCAGAAGTACTATGTGGTGATAAATATTTGAAATAGTGGTGCTCACAAACAAAGGGTCATAATCGGGACGCATCTGGGATCATTGGGCGGAGGCAACAGTGAATTGCAGAACCTGGGGTGAATGGACAACCCGTGGCACTCACACTTAAATTATTAAGCGTCAAGTAACGTGTCAACTGTTTCAAATAAAAGCAAATATAACGATAAAAAAGTGACATATATATTGTTAAAGCGTAAATATTATTAAATATATATAAAAAAACCAGATTAATGTAATATTGATTTATAAACATATTTTTTCTCATTATTATTGTATAGCAAGTTAGAAGCTTCAAGCTTACAAGCTACAGCCTGGCTCATAATGTATAAAAGACTGCATTGCGCAAACGCAGCCGTTCACCAGAGCCTCGCTGGTGGCCTTGTATCGCGCATCATGGTAAACTATTTCCCATAAAGTTCCTCCATAAAGGAAGCTGAAGAATAGACAAACATGTAGATGTGGAACTGTTCCCTCTCACGAGGCTGAATCTGGTACTGTGGTCCTCTATAGAGGATGCTGAAGGGTGGAGACACGTGTAGATGTGGAACTGTTCCCTCCCACAAGGCTGCACCTGGTACTGTGGTCCTCTGTAGAGGAAGCTGAAGGGTGGAGACATCCCGTTACATTACTCTTCACCTGATACAGTGGTCCTCTGTAGAGGAAGTTGAAGGGTGGAGACACGTGTAGATGTGGAACTGTTCACTCCCACGAGGCTGCACCTGGCACCGTGGTCCTCTGTAGAGGAAGCTGAAGGGTGGAGACATCCCTTTACATTACTCTTCACCTGATACAGTGGTCCTCTGTAGAGGAAGTTGAAGGGTGGAGACACGTGTAGATGTGGAACTGTTCCCTCTCAGGAAACTACTCCTGGTACCGTGGTTCTCTGTAGAGGAGCCTGAAGGGTGGAGAGACACTCTCTTACATTACTCTTCATCTGGTACTGTGGTACTCTGTAGAGGAAGCTGAAGGGTGGAGAGACGTGTAGATGTGAAACTGTTCCCTCAGTAGTCGCTCATAATCATGCAAGGATAAGGAATCCTCGTCGTTGATGGCAGCACTGATGTCACAGGATAGCCTCTCGCCCACCACAGTGAGATATTCACCACACCTATGATTAGAACAATTACATCACAATTTAAAGATGACATTAACTTACACAGACGTATGCAGGTATGTTACTTAAATGCGGCTGGCAATGCAACCTATTATATGAAGTGAAATCATTTCGTTCCAAGCAAATTATCCATCTCGAACACAACAACAACACCACCAGTTAACCGGTTCTGTACTAAAAGTACATTTGTGTGATTACCATCACAAGATGCACAAAATACTATCACTTCATCTTTTGCAACACATAAAACCAAATCCAGGCTCGGTTTATTCAGCGAGTGTCTTAGTTTTCACAGGTAGTTTGAGTAAAGGATGTCGTTGAACACTAGCGTGAGAGAGTGAGTGAGTGAGTGAGGTTTTACGCCACTTTTAGCAATAGTCCAGCAATATCACAGTGGGGCTTCACACATTGTACCCATATCGGGAATTGAACCCGGGTCTTCGGCGTGACGAGCGAACGCTTTAACCACCAGGCTACCCCACCGCCCCATTTTATACAAGAGACAGCAACAGGTCATGCATTTGGGGTTGTTCTAATGGTAAGTAGTTAACCCGTATTGGATACATACTTCTCAAGCATTTAACCTGAAACAATACAAAATGTATGTACCTGATGTCTTGGTCATCTGAAAGTAAAGCAAAAAGAGCATTTGTAAAGTTCTGTAATAAAGGAATCTTTGTAATGTATTTTTTACTGAATAAGAACAACACTGGCAAAATGAGCCTTCAGCCCTTTTAGACATTTGAAGTAGGGAAACGTTTGTTTGTTTGTTTTTGTCTGTTGTTTCACTCCTTGCGTAGCAATATTCTGGCTATATGACAGGGTCTGAAATAATCGAGTCTGGACCACACTATCCATTGACTGACGTCGTGCATCAACCAAGCCAGTGATTTTAACCGCCCGAACGCGTTACTTGCCTTTTATCACAAGCCTGCTAATAGGCTGAAGAAGACCAATTCTAACCAGGATCTTCATGGCGTGGTGTGGCGTGGTGTGGTGTGTGGGGTGATGAGTCTACTTATGGTTGATTGCATTGTAAGAGAGTAATTTGTTTACTCACCTTTCACGTCCTTGCAGACAAGAATAGCAACTGCTGCAACCACAACAGCCACAGCAGTGAGCATAACAGAGTAGACGGCTACGACAGGGACGATGTCGTCTACGTTTACGTCATCTTCTGGCGTAAGACAAAGGTGAATCACATGTTTATTCAAAATGATAAGTCAATGCCTACCAATCAGGGACATTTTTTAAACATAGAGACTCCCCATTTTATATTCCATGTTACTTTGAATATACAAATTGATATTCGGATATAGGCTATGTCTAGCGAATCTTTTATTTGTATACCTGAAAATAGTTTTTGGGTGTGAACATTTCTTTTTTCAAGAAAACGAATCTGAGTAAACCACGATCCTTTTCAAGCTAACGAAGCCCTGTCTAGACCTCAGATGTCACTACAACGAAGTTCAAAAAACGAAACGAACAATGAACAATGGCCATAACTTATGACGAGGAGTATGACCACTACAGCTAACAAACCAACTGAATCTTTTTCTCAAACATGACGTATTACACCACCCAGGTGATGAGTCATGATGATTCATTTCAAAGTGTCATAAAAGAAGTATTATGACTTTTAAAATAAAGTATGTCCGCTGGTGCATTTGACTTATTCTTCGATAGGTATAATAAAATCGTTATTGTTATCTTTTTGTTTTAAAATATTAAGCAATATATTTGACTCCTATTGTGTGCTTCTTGGCTTCAGGAGTTAAATTGGCTTACAGTACGTCGTTCGATAAGTACCAAATACGGCAGTTCGAGTTATACGGGCGTTACAAAATCGCATCAACAGACAACCTTTAGAGACCAACCTTCTATCTCCTGGTAGCTCCCTTCTTGTCCCTCATCCCGGGTAAATGAGACGACGCTGTTGAAAATGAATAAAAAAGTGATCGAAATAAGACGAAAAGATCGAGGCAAATTAACTGTGGAACACTATCAATTTACATTGTGCTCCATATTGTAGAGATGTAGTTTCGCTCTTATGCCATGCAAGGTCATATGACTGTACAGAGGTGAACAATTTATTCATTTCACTTGAATATCGATGGCAAATACTCACCGGTTATTAATGTTTCCTCCCTCTGAAAGTTACAATGTTCTGCAGTTAATTATATATAATAATGACTCTGATCATTGCATACCATTAAAATGCTGGTAACTAGTTTGAATTTTGCACAATGATATTCTTGTATTCTTTTTACACGTTTTGGAGGTTTAGAAGTTTAATAGACACTGCACTGATATAATAAAAATAAAGGTCCATCAGTGCTAAACGTTTCTTAGAAGTCACAACTTGACTGCAGATACCAAATAATGGTATGTGTTTAGTTATTACTTAAGGGTATGTTCGTTTACAGCTTTCCAAATCAACTACATATATAAGCAAGAACTGTAATGATTCAAGACGACCCTTGTAACATTAAAGAAACATCATCGGAATTAATTCATATGGCGTTTGAAATACTAATGATGACTAACAAAACCAACCATCTATTTCCTGGTAGCTCCCGTCTGTTTCTGTGTCCCGGGTATACGTGACCACGCTGATGTAAAGGATGTTGGAAGTGATTGAAAAAGAAGAAACTAATCAAGGCAAACTCGTCACAAGATAATTTGTGAAACACTATCAGTTTAGATTGTACTCTAAATGACATAGATAGTTTGGTTTTATAGTCATGCGAGGTCAAATTACTCTGTTTCAGATTTACCCGTTTGCCTTGATGGATAGCAGGTACTCACCGGTTATGGAAGTATCCCCTCCCTGAAAGATATAATTTTGTGTTGTTAATCATGTATACAAAATGTAAGATGAAATGTGATAGCTACACGAACTTTGCACAACGATATGTGACTGTTTACCCAAGATTGAGGAAAAGTGTCAAAGAAGTATTAATATTGTCATGAAGGCAGTACAACTGTCGACCTTGAAGCTGAAGGTCCATCAGTGCTATACGTGTCTTCAGAGTAACAAGATCACGACAGAGAAACAAAGCAATGATAAATGTTATAGGCGTTGTGTTATCTTTCTCATCATAGCGACAAAGAGGGTTTTGTCCTTCAGATTGCCATAACATGTCCACAATTCCACGTATCCTATCGATCGTCACATGCGCACAGCAAAGTCAAAGAGAAAGTGACAAAACTACCTCTGAATGATATGAATCATACTTCATACAGTCTTTCTGTTTATCAACAGCGTCGGTATTGTAAGAGCGATGAAATCATGCTATGTTGGTTTGAACAGAGTCACAGAGAAGGAAGACATTTTCAAATAGAAACCATCCCAGTTGCCTTTTTATTCACATTATCGAAGTTTTCAAATAAGCTTAATTCATATTTATTCCACTTTCACCACGTCTTCTGACACACTGTATTTATGAGAGAGTAAGGTTTTTCATAGGATCTCAGTTGTAGTATCTCTGAAAGGATATGAAACTCATCCCTTATGTGCTGGTCACTGATTCCCTTTCCTCGCACAGTCTTGGTTTTGATCCTTGATGATTACTAATAATGACAATCAAGGTCGTCTTTACATTTAATCAAAATTCAAACACAAGCAAAATTAACTAATGAGCTGTAGGATAGATCCACTTATATAAATAACACAAGCTGATCATATCATATATTACTTGTTAGGATGAAACACTTCCTGAGGTAAAAAGCAAGCTCATACAATTATTCAATAACATTTTGTGTTCCTTATGCATTGTGCTGAACTAGCAGTTATTTTATCACCATTCATTTGAAAGCGTTTACATTGATATTCTATCGTGACAACTATTTCCGCGTGGCGATTCACTGGACTACCCTCACACATCGCATAATGTGAGGACTTTCAAACCCAGAATAGCTTGTGTAGAATTTGCAGTTGTTTCAGTCGATCAAATAACCCACTTCTCAGGGGTAGTTAATGTTACTGAAGGACGGTTGCTGATATCTTGTTAAAACAAACCAGTGGTCAATAATGTGAACAACGACCCACACAACCTGGTTAAATTTGGTGTGCACGCATCTATATCCTCCCATGTTCAATTAGGAGACAAACGAATTCTGTTTTCAATAAAGAGATTTCGAACGAAGATTTGATACCTGTAAATTTCATTTGAAACCGAACGGAATATCACTTTACACTCTCTCAGTATTTGTTCGTCAAGATTTCCGACGGAACACTGACACACTTGCTGGAAATACTGTAGGAACCGCAATACGTTATTCAGCAAGGTGAATGAAGAAAGATCAATATTGGAATTTGCCAAACGAAAGTGAGAAAGAAGTGCTTCTGAATAAGTATTTTCTTTTGCGGTTTTCTGCACTATCATGGTGTAACTTAGATTCGATACCGCCAGCGGACCAATAAGAATTGATGATTCTAAAACGTCATGGTAGAATAGTTAATGTGACTCTCACGTTGTACTCAATCACTCTCACATCGCAGTTTTACCTTTACGTGTCTGTTTTCTACAAACAACAACTATGACAACCACAGCGATGACGACGATCAGGACAGAACAGACAGCAGCCACAGGGACGAGGAAAACGTCGCTAGCGTCAGTAACCTCATGTGCTGGAACATTCAAAATGGAAAACATGTAGTTTGTCATGATTGTAATCGTGTTGTTTTTTTTATAGATAACCTCTTGGAGTGCCAGATGGTTGGCTGGAATATTTCATACCAGAGCCATTCCATATCATGCGTATTTTGGTCGGGTGTGGTATTCTTTCTTGTTATTCCTCTCAGTAGAGTGAGTGAGTGGGTGAGTGTATGGCTTTACGTCGCTTTTAGCAATATTCCAGTAATATTACAGCTTGAATCCTGGAAGATTCGCTTGTCGCGAATGTTGAGAGCCATTCGAAGACTTGTGTTGAATTACATAGTACATAAACAATGTGTTAGGATTTCTGTCTTAATATTCTTTTGCCACTAGCCTTTGTAGAAAGTTCTGGAAGCTAGATACACGATATAAGTGGGCGCGTGCCTATCTGTTCTTACAAATTTTAGCTGAGATTACGCAGGGACCCGCTTATATGTGAAGATTACTTTTCACCCTGGATTCCTTGCCAAGGCCTATCTCGGAAGCACGACAACTGTTGCGGCGAGGTGCTTATTATTATTATTATCATTGTCATTTCCGTTGTTCTCATATTTTATACTGCCAATGAATATTGTACTACCATTCTATTGTGCATTGCAATTGTAATTGCTGTGCAGTAGTTTGTATTGATTTGTAAACTCAGGGAATTTTGTAATACATTTGCTGATTGTATAACATTTGTTAGCTTTCAATTTGGGACATAAACATAGGTTTTATCCAATCAATGCTGGCATGTTACATATTCAGGTACTAAAGTCTATCATCAGCAATGTTGGGAAAGTCTTACAGAAAACTTCAAGCGTCAGGTTCCGTGATGTATTCCCATGTATGTTGTTGACGTGACACGTGTACTGTCCAGACACAGATCTGTCTACAGCTGGTATATACAACACAGCCTCCCTCTGTCCCGTGATCACCCTCTGTCTGGATGTGTCCCACCAGGTCACAGTGCAGACGGGGTTACAGTCAGCAGAACATCTCACTGTGGTAGTTTTCCCTTCTTCTGCCTTTAGCCTGCCACTTGCACCGTTAAACTGTATCTGGTCTGGTCCATCTGGAATGTGTGAAGTGCTAAGTAAGTCTACATTGTACCTCCAGGCAGCAATGGAAAATGCCAATGCACGCAATAACTGATCCAAAACCTGTCCAAAATGATTTCTGAGAGACAAATGTGCAGTTTGTTTCTGTGACGTTTATGTGAGAATACTTATATGTACACGTGCAGTTTGTGTTTGTAATAAATTTGAAGAAAAAAAGGTTTCCTTAAACAGACGGATGGACCTACGGACAACAGATGAATGAAACCCATAATATAATTTTACGCAATTTAACAAAAAAGGGATCGTGGGTGATTAGCAACAATGCAAATAACGTTCATATTTTATGATACCTGCAAGGAATTCTTTCAGGTAAAGTGTATTCAAGCAGAAAGTATTCTCAGACAAGGAATGCAAAGTGTTACTTTGAAACAGAAGTAAACGGGGCGAGAGAAAAATGAGAGTAGCGCACAAATAGCAAGTAAAGATAAGGTAAGAGATCTATTCAGACACATTGCTTATGACTTCATATATGATGTGTTAATCCGGCATGATCGTTGTATACCGTAAAGAAAGGTGAGACGTCCAAATCAAAACCACCAAGTATTACGTTTACAATGGATAGTTTACATAAATGAGAAGGCAATTGAAAAGTTGATGAGAGACAACAATGTAATTTATAATGTTAAAGTTTCACTTCATCGCTCTATAGAATCGACGGTATAGTAAAGTATCTAAGCTATCAAGAAATCATTTTAGAATACATAGAATTTCAACCCGTGATCTAGATATTCTTGGAACAACAGTACATTTGTATATCATTTTGTAAACTATCAGTATTTGAAATCGGTACCGGAAACGAATGCTTCTTAAAACAGTTCCATTCTAAAAGACCACCTCTGTGGTCTAGTGGTAGAGCGTCCGCCCGCGGAGAGGAAGGTCCGGGGTTCAATTTCCGCCTGCGTCATACCAAAAGCCGTTAAAAGATGGTGCTTGTTGTAACCCCGTCTGGTATCTCAGTCAGCTAGCACTCTATATTGTGATAAGTCCGGACTTGTACAAGCAGCCACACACACACACACACACACACACACACACACACACACACACACACACACACACACACACACACACACACACACACACACACACACACACACACACACACACACACACACACACACACACACACACACACACACACACACACACACACATTAAGTGCAATAATCTTGGACGCGACGTTAAACCCAATTTCACTTCACCTCCGTTCTAAAAACACCGTCTCCTTGAATCATATTGTTGAGTTGAGTTGTCAGCATGTAGAATTCACCCGCCTTTGAAGAAATTTACTCAGTAAATGAAACTGATAACCACAATTGTTGTATGACCAATGAAATCAGTACAACGGAATGAACCGTTTTCAGGAAGATATCGCTCAGTGGAGGGTAGGTCAACCAGGTTTCGCTGTATGCTGTGTGGCTGTATGATACATCATGCTCTTCATATGACCCGGAGGTACTCGACTATCATGTTCAGCCTTCATGTTTGAATTGTCCATCATAAATACAGCAGGAACATGATCAACGTTCTTACCGTAATACCACCACTTTCTAAAAAAACAGGTCCAAACAATATCGACTAATATATGTGCTAAGCTAAACATTTGAAGCCAATTTTGGTTGGTAAATGACCACTTCTCAGAGAGTGCTGTGAACTTTTTGTAGTCATCATACATTTCGAATTCCCTTTGAAAAGGCCTAGGAAGCTGAAACCTTGCATGACTGATTTTGGCTATGGTGCCTTTAATTCCGATCCGACCCGCCAATATACTTTGGTAGTAATTATTCAGAACATGAACGTTCTCTGTAGACAATACACAAGACTTCAACAAATACAGCTGTTACAAAGCTGTCGTTTATAACCACAGTTGCAAAGACAAGGAAAACTTCGTTCTCATTCCTTAAACAAGGTAAGTGCTTACTCACAGTGAACCTCGAGTACATGTCCGTGACTCCAGTCAGACTCCAGCCCCTCCTCCACAGCCTGGCAGGTGTAGATGTCTCCCTGGTTCTCTCTGCTGATGTGGGTTATTGTCAGGACATCTCCGCCTGTGTGAGACCCGTCACCAGATTCCAGCAGGGTCCTGTTCCTCCTCCAGGAATAGATCATGTTCAGTCGGGGGTGGTCCGGGGGCAGACTCCGAGAGGAGGAGGAGCATGTCAGGGTAACATTCTCACCTGATACAGCTGAGGCAGGTCCTGTGATGGCAGGTGTGGTCGGCTTCTCTGTTAAACATATTGATCTTTAATAATTAAAGCAAGGCCATAATATTGCATCACTGTATATATCAAGTTCATAGAGTAAGTGAGTGAGTGAGTGAGTATGATTTTATGTCGCTTTTAGCAATATTCCAGTAATAACAGGGCGAGCAACACCAGAAATTGGCTTCACACATTGTACCCACGAGGGGATAGAACCGGGTCTTCGGCGTGACGGACCGCCCCCGTGGACTAGTGATGTAGAACGTCCGCCCGGAGAGTGTAAAGTCCGGGGTTCGATTCCCGGCCGTGTTATACCACAAGACGTTAAAATATGGTACTTGTTGTTACCCTGTCCGACGCTCAGCACGTAACACCGTCAAGATGCAACAAGGAGACGACTTCAGAAACTGCAGGGTGTTTTTATTCCCAACGTAGTCTTCCCTGGACCACCTGAGACTGAGAGCTTGTCTGGACTAGATGGGACCACGACAGGAACTGCCATGCCTTGTACTATGCTATCTATTTAATTTATCTGTTATCACCTGCTACATCCACAGTTGACATATTAATAACTTTTAAGGTACACAGCGGCCTGATATAATCTTTAGTAATCACGACTAACCACATGTGCAGTGATGCTGGTTCTATATTATAATATACGTATAATTATTAGTATACATGTATGTTATCGTGTCTTGGCTTATTAGGAATATAGATTTTACTTGGCCATATTACCCTTGGTGCACTTTGTTACAAGCATTAAGGGGCTAAAACAAGGACTGGTCGGCTCGGAGCAAGTATACTGTGTCTGAGTGAGGATTCATTTTAAACTGCGGGATGGTATCTCAGTGTGCTAGCACTATAAATCGGCATCAGTCCGGACTAGTATAAGCAGCCACACACATACACGTGCATGTATGTCGCTACATAAGAGCAATAATCTAAGACGCAACGTTAAAGCCAATTTCACCTCACCTTACCTCACCTCACCTCACCTCACCTCACCTCACCTCACCTCACCTCACCTTCGGCGTGACGAGCGAACGCTTTAACAACTAGGCTACCCCACCATGTCTCGACAATTATATTATTGCAATATTCGAACCTCGTCATTTCTATATCTTATCATATACAACACGTTGACTTTATTTCCCCAAATGTTGTCAGTTTTCCATTGCTATAACATAACGCAAATTAAATTGTCGAGATCCAGTTCAAATTTCTGATGAGTGAAAGTGATACTAGTATATATATTTGCGGGTTTTCTTTCAATCATGCCATATCTTGGAATTTAATTTGTAATCGATGGCAGGAGATTTAAATTCTTAAATTCCAAAGGATAGCGTTAGTCCCCATGTCACATTACCCGTGTAACAACTGCACAGGTTGTAAATGTGACGTCGATGACGCCGCCTTGCCGAATACCTCAACTCTCCTGTCCCATCATAAAGTAGTGTTCCGCTTCTTATTAATGGTTTTACTTCCTCTAGAACTCTAAAGGTCTGCTGCTAATGACAATACAAGCGTTCCAGCGATGTTTTTAATGTTTTGTTTTCATAACGGCAATGTATTTTTATTCATTTCTTGACATATTATTTTTTAACTATTATTCTGTGAGTTCCATATAATACTTACGTGACACAACGAGGACCTGTCTACAT